GACACCCTAGGAAATTTGAAATTACTGTCGATAGGAGCGCATGAAAATTCACGTAGAGAAAGTTCTTTTGCAAAGTTTCAGAACTTCAAAATCCTCGATGAGAGAAAATCGGTTGAAAGGAATTTCGAAAATTTTTATTGCGTCGAAAAGGTACGCGAGAGTATTTATATATATAAAGAAAACGTATAATTCCGTGGAGAATACAACGTACACTTCAAATAATATACGTGAAAGTTGTGATGCAACACGTTATAATAATCTTGTTTTCAACTCGATATGAAACATTTTGCACTACGTATCTACTTTTCCAACATTATAATCTCGAAATTTAATTTAACTACGTAGGATGTCTCGGAACTAAACTTCCACGCAGTATATTTCACTGTTAGTTTTTAGCGCGTAAAAAAAAAAAAGCGAAATGCCGCGATTTGAACTGATTATCGATGAAGGACATTTTAGATGACCGAAGTACAACTGATATTGCGATAATGGACAATTTCCGACCGATGGCTAATACATCGACGTATCTGTAGGTACTTGTAATCGGTGAGTTCGTTTAACGATCGAAAATAAAGTGATTAACGTCACGATTTTGGTGACTATTAAGCGAGAGGCGGCATGTCAGTCATTATCATGTACGATCAATTAATTAACGCAGTGCATTTCCGATATTCCGATTGATTCTGCATCTGCAAGTGTAACTGAACAGGAGTACCTTGGAAGGTCGAAAGCGATGTTACAAGACACCGAAATGATCTCTCGGGGTTAGCTCTGCACAAATAGAATGATAGTGCCTATATAACTGTCCCAAATCTATCTCAGAGTGCATCAGTATAAGAATGATCTGTTTCGTATAGAATATATTTGTGAGATCTCAACTTTTATCGTTCTCTCTCTTGTTGAATAAAATAAAAAACTGCAAATATAATACAGATCATTAAATATGACAAAACAATTTAGAGAATTACTTATAATAAAAACTTCCTTCAAACAAATAAATAATAGTTTTGTTAAAGAAAAGCCATTTGATGTAATCTTGAAGAAGACTATATTTTTAATTTAAAAAAATCAGTTTATGTGAAGTTTTATTTTATGTAATTAATTTTTTTAACGATAAATTTTTTTAGAAATAATCAAAAAAATCACGTAACAAAACGTATATACACGTTATACATTTATTATGTATATAATATCTTGTACGTGTTTGAGTATTTATATTGGCCGTATGTATGAGTATTTATATTGGCCGAGAATATTAATGTTGTACTGTGCTAGAGTGTGTTCGAGTTACTACGTTTAAACAAGAGGATTAATTTCTGCATAAAATGCATTAGAAATTAGGCTCGCGTTGTTATATGGAAATCGGGCATGTATTATATTCGCTCAAATGAATGAAACCGTATGATTCTCTACGTTCCAACTAAATAGCGTAGCACAAACTTCGAAGTGAATCACTAAGGGATAAATGTATTTGTGAAATCTCTCGGCAAAGCAATCTGTTCTGATGCAAACATTTTTGGACCAAAACGCGAAATACGGATGTAACTTTAAGTCGAAAATGTATACACGAGGTAAACAATATTTGCACACTCTCCCTTTTTTTTAACCAGAGATAATACCAATATCAGGGGAATACTTTGTTTTACTCAGCGCATTAATGCAAATAAAAACAATATGTATGCGATAGAAACATTTTGCAGTAACAATTTCTTTCTTTGTTTTTTTTTTCGTGCAAAATTATTCCATAAAAGACGAAGATTAAATATGCAAATATGCTTTTTCACATACTCTATATGCGCTATTTTATTCCTCTGTAGACGGAAAAGTCATGTAATGCTCTTTATGCAATTAAATGTGAAACCAACCATTCACTTAAGAGAACTCCACAAACGAATCGAATGGACCAACGTGCGTCAACAACACATTAGTTACGCCATATTGAATCAGAGTGACAATTATACTCTGTTTATTCGTACATATCATTAGGAAAAACAATTTTGATGCTGTACTATAAGCAAAACATATCTGTTTACTATTCTTAAGTTTTCTTATCCTTAACTATTCTTAACTTTTTTATTCTTTAAAAGAAACTTTTTTATTCTTTCTTATTTCTAACTTTCTTATTCTTTCTAGTTCTTTTATCTTATAATTTTTTTTATCTTATATCTTTATCTTATATTTTTTTACCATATTTTTATATTTACTTGAAAACAATCGTTATACTATATAAAATATTGTGTAATTTAGTGTTTTACTCTTTAAACTTGTTCTTTAATTGAAAAAACCTCTCATTTTTTTCTAATTAATATAAGAAACAGAAGGAATGTTAGTTGTCTATCAATTACTAAAAACAAATTTTTAAATATTGTACGAATAAAATTATGAATAAATGTCTTGTCTGTGTTTGTGTCTTTTGTAAAATGTTATAAGAAAAAGTGTTATTTTTCAAATAAATAATAAAATCAATTTGCTTTGTTGTTTCAGGTGAGTTTGGAGTGTCATTCAACTACATTTTGTTAATTCCAGTCAACATATCGTAAGTTGATATTTCCACATTGCTCGTTTTAATTTTTATTATTAAACTGCGATATGTGCAATTCCTTCTTTGCTTTGCAGTAGATAACAGAGAACTTCTGTGTTTACCTTATATTACTAATATTGTGTCGGTATGGTAGTTTCCTGCCATTGAAATGTTACAAGTATACCGACGGTTATGTTCTGTTATCAACTGTAAGTAGTGTAGGTGATGCTTATCATATGGTATTATTTACATTATTTTCTAACGCAGCAAAATTTTAATTTTTATATATAGTACTTGATGCAAAATAGAATTTTATATATTTATACATAATGTGTTATCAGTTATGTGCTCCTAAACTAATTTGTATAGTCTGGATGGTCAGTGTCTCATCTTGAATTAACTCAAACAGCACAAAAGTTCGATAGATACATCGTAAAGATATCTAAAGGACGTTTAAATTATTGTAGCCATCTTTTAGATATCTTTACGTCTTTCAAAGTTTTTTAACGTTTACGTTTTTAAGTTTACGTTTTTCAAAGTATTATTTTAGCTTTCAGAAGCTAATCGGCCGATTAAGGTTGTATTCAGTGTAAGATCTCAGTCAAAAGTTTAAGAAACATAACGTAAACCGAAGCTATTTTAATATTTAGATAATAATTGTTTGCTGGAAAAGTATTATTTGTATTAAAATAAGTTAAAAAAACTATTTATTATACTTTTAATGATTACAAAAAAGTTTTTACGTATATTTTGTGTGTGTGTGTGTGTGCCATTTTAATGTTCACTTATGATACTTTTGAGTAGGAAGATTATACTCTACTTGCAACATAAGATAAATGAAAAACTGGAAATGTTATTAATCATAAAAGTTCGTTAAAACGTAAAAATTGATGTATACAATTACAAATATAATTGTTTTATGTATATTAAATATATTTTTTTATTAATTTTAGCAAAATATAAATTTATATTTTATGTGATATTCTCGAAATGACTATTTTTTCGAGTGGAATTTGTTTTTAAGATATTTATTAACAACTGCAAAAAATTTCAAAATTACGGCATATCTACAGTTATTTTTTAATTTATATCAGAATATCGTGAAATCCCATAAGAACTCGTGTTAAATTAAAATCGTACTAACTTTTTAACTAGACTCGCAAAGGAGCTGAAATTTTGCACAATGTTTTTTTTTTTTATATTATCTACTGACTGGCAAAATTTGAATACTCTGGCATATCTTTTATCTTACCCTGAATACAACCTTAAGTGAGGCACTAAAGCTATTTCATTATCTTATATCAAATATAATATAAGTTTTGTAATTTTTTCTCTCTTTCTCTCTCTCTCTCTCTCTCTTGTGCTTGAAGGAATCTTATTCCGGAGTTCTTTATAAATAAAGCATCAATCAATCAATCAAATCAATCAATCTCTCTCTTTCTTTTTATTCCATATAAAAGTAGAAAATTGATAATTTATTTATACTTATATAAAAAACTAATTCTAATATAAAGAAAAATAAAGAGTTGTTAGAGTTGTTTAAAAATAGCCATGTTGTTAGAACATGGTTTGATCAAATCACCTTTCTTGTCATTCCGTTGCTATAGTTACTTAGAGAAATCAATTCGAGGTTTGGCTATTCACAAAGAGCTCTCTGATTGTGTCTAACTCAAAAGCATTGTATGCTACGAAAGAAACTCGCGTGACGTCAATTCTCTCACCTTGTAAACTATTGCGATAGTTGTGAGCCAATTGTATCGATTTTATATAACACACACACACACACACACATACAAACACATGTGCCACAATTTTGCCTCTAAATTTCTAAAAAGGATATTTGCCTAATTCTTTTCATTTAATATCTCGTTCGTCGACATTTGTTACTTGAACAAATACACATGGTAGTTTCACGTTTGGCAAACAAACTTATAAGTAGACATTAGAAAAGAAATTAAGAATAAGATAAGGTTAATTAACAAAATAATAATGTGTACAAAAGCAAAAATTTAAAACACAATTACTCGAGAAATATGCATCGCGTTTTAATCGCATACTCCGTACTACTGCACGATTTTTTTCTGAGTATATGTTATTCAAGATTGGGGTTGTTTTTTATGGTTTTTCAATATAAAATGTTTCTAAAGGTTTTTATTTCTTTGTATCTGTCTTTATTTTTCATGACAAAATTTACAAAAGAGAGGCTTATCTAAGTTATAAGACTAGATAAATTTATATCAGTGTGTGTAAAAAAATGTCTTTTACAAAATATTATGTGTTTCATACATGTATGTGTATATATATATCTGGAAAATCCATCGAAATACGACAGTTGTGTGAAAGGAAAGAAGTCATTTAGCAAGAAAAGTGTAAAATATTAAAAGAGTGGAAGTATATGTGTTTGTAAAGTTTTAAATGATGTGTGCTATAGTTGCATAACTGCAATTAACGTTATATAACTAAATAACTCTCTGTAATGTACGGTAGAAAAATATTTATTAACGTATCAAACATTTATTCAACGTACATAAGATGATTGATATTCTGCACGTTTAATCCGCAAGTACTCGAAACGTCTTGACAAAAAAAGCATTTCGTCTAATACATCAAAATGGTTTGAGTTTACCATTTCTTCAACGGTATTCCCGTACCGAAAGAGGCAGGTGCCAGTAAGGTGTTGGAAGATCCTAAAGTCGGTTCACTAGCGATGGCGCCGAAGTGTTCCAAGCCGCTGCTGACAACAGCACCGCTGGAAATGACGCCGCTGCTAAGTCCGCTGCTAAATCCGCTGCCAAATCCGCTGCCAAATCCGCTGCTAAGTCCGCTGCTCAAAGTTGCGCCCGACAGTGCCGGTCCCAAGCTGCTGGATCCCAATTCTAGCACTTCGTGTCCGGATGAAATTCCAGAGAGACCAGATGAGTAAGCGGATGTGAAAAGAGGACTAGCTCGAGAGTAAAGGGGTGCCGACGCAAGGCCGACAGTGGATGGTACGACGTTAAAGGTTGGCGCGACGGCTGCGACAGCTGGTACAGAAATCGGCACGTGTTTCGTGACGGACACCGGAACAGGTACTGGTTGAGCTACGGGAACTGGCACCGGTTGCGGCACACGGACCTCAACAGGATGTGGTACAGCGACTGGATAGGGACGATCTATTTTGACGGGCACATGACGAGTAATTGGCACGGGCACCGGTTGCGCTACCGGGACGGGGTAGGGACGCTCGTATTTGACGGGAACTGGGTGCGGGACCGGCACGTGCTTGGTCACTTCAACCGGAACTGGTTGCGGCACCGGGACCGGTACTTGGACCTCGCGGTGAAGGGTGACGCCGGTGATGCGCTCGGTCTTAGGATGCGTTAAAGTCGGCAAGACACTAGCGCCGCTCAGAACTGCCGGTTGAGCGAGCGAAGTCAGAGCTAAGTCGCCCGAGCCAATGATGGGTCCTTTGTATCCACCTCCGTATTCTAATCCGGAAGCATATGCAGAAGACAGACTGCTATCCAAAGGAATTCCTGCCCCGAGTATCTTTGCACCGTAACCGAGACCGAGTTCAGAGGAATATCCTCCGAGGTTGTATGGCAGACCGTAGGTAGAAAAAGCAGCATCACCCGTTACCAAACTTCGCTTTCCATGTTCCTTCTCGGTTTTTTTCGCGCTCGGGGCTGCCAATACGGCGGTTGCCAACAACAGTATCTGCACAATAAGATAATAATTTGTACTTTAAATATTATAATAAATAGCGCGAAATTAAACAGAAATCGCGATAGGCTTTTACATTGTTGAATTTAATGTAACATATACACATTATATTCATAATAGTAATTAATAAAAATTAAACAATCAAATAATTATAAATAATTATATATAATTACTCTAATGTCTGATTTATCTAATTTAATCTATTTAATATATTTATAATAGAGAAAGAAAGAGAGAAAAAGTTATATTTCAGAATGTGAATGTGCAATATACACGTAATTACAACGCGTTAAATTTATTTGAAACGATAAAGCGAGTTTTGACTCTGTATACTAAAAATTAATGATTGCTCTTAAACAGTGAATGAAGATATCAAAGAAATCAATTATACGTGTTATATAAACGATCGTATTTTTGTGCATCAACACGTACGTGTCAGAAAAGATCCTCCTCTCGATACTTACCGCAAAGCTCTTCATCGTGTCTCGTGGTAGTTTCGGATCGAGTGTGCCATCAAGCCAGCCGGTCGGCGTTTTTATACGAAATGTCCGGTTCACGATGTGTATGCGATTACTTTCACTGAAACGACGAAGAACACGCCCTGTTCCGTGATCCGCACACCCCTCCCAAACTTTATATTTTTGTAGCCGGTTGTCCCGGCCGGTCCATCCGAACCTCCGATCTGACGTAACGGCAAAAGCCATCGCAACTCGCTCACCACGAAACAAGTCCGATTCCGCATTATTACGGCTGTTACGTGTATAATTGTCGTACACCGGTGTGTCGGTATAACACGACCGCTTGGTTTTCCTTCGCGGGTTTTTTTTTTGCTAAGGGCCAACTTTTACCAGCTGACGTGAACTGTCGCAGTCGGCAAACGGGCGACATCGCGATCGATCGAAATGATAAACGCGATGCGCCGACAAATCCGCGTCCAGTAAAAGATAATTGAATAAAATTTGTGTTTTACGAACATGTATAATCATTACATTGTAAGATATTCAATATACTTTTTTTTATCTTTTTATATCATAAAAGTTCTCTATATTCAATTTGAAAAATTACGAAATATAGTAAAGTCTTTTCTATCATAGGTTTTTTTTATTGTGCCTTTGTTCACATGAAATCGTTTTTGTATGTATAAATTTGTTTTATAATTTAATCTACATATTTTACAGGTCTTTATCGCTACTTTTAATACAAAACATGTTTTTCTTTTAAAAAATTATATATTAAAATTTGCTTAATTATATTATATTATAATTAAATTATTATTATGTTAAAAAAATTATGTTATAATTTTATTAATTATAATATAATTGTTTTTATATATTATAATTTTTTATATTATAATTATATTATATTTAATCGGTAATTATATTATATTATATTATTTATCTTTATTTAGAGATCGATATTTTTTACAATGTACTGAAAAAAAGAAATTACGAAGATGGAATCCATTTTAATGGCGATCACTCTCGATCCAGCGGAATATAAATTAATCGATCTTGTACATAACCGGAACTTTTTTCGGATACACACACTGTCTTGGCTTCATTCTTAAAACATTATTAGCTCTGTATATATTTATGATCGTGTTACTAGGCGACATTGAATACGATGAGGAAGTATCATAAATAGATGTAATTGAACTGAAGTCTGTACAAAGCGAGATTCGACTTCTCTGTTATTTTTCACAATTTTCATTTAGCACAGCAAACTGGAGATTAATTAAAAAATCTGATAATTTCAATTGACAGATCAACGCAATTTCTGTTTTATAGTTTCGTCGAAAAACAGTTTGTATTGAAAAGTCACTCGCGCTAGCGCGAGGAGAGCATATTTTCTCATATTGTGCGCTTACATTCGGTGTAAATCGTTTCCGTTTCATAAAACGCGACATAAATCTCCATGGCGCAGAATAACTCAGACAAGAGTTTCGTAACTACGTAGATTTTCATCTTCAGAATTGTCTCGACGAAGATGTACGTTCAGCGAATGCGAAATTGTGCCGATTTTCACAAAGTGCCTTATACATTCATGTCGCACAGTTTCTGCGAAAATGCGCTTTATTTAAAATATATAATACATTCGCACAATGTGCGAGTTGTCTCGTAAACTTGTATCGTGACCATAATGCATCTCTCGTCAGGTTGCAAACACGAAATAAAAAATAACCGATTGCTAACGGTTTTTTTTTGTTTTATTAATTCAAGAGCGAATTCCGTACGAGGAAAACAATTAAACAGAATAAGATTACCCGAGAGAAACCGTCCAAGTTATGCGCATATTTTTTGTGAGTCTGCGCGTCGGATGTGCAGACAAAGGAATAAGAAATTGACATTGGTTGTCGACATCATTTACATAAAATACTACTTTACGAAGGGAGAAAATTTCTCACACACTTGTCATTTAGATGCGCTCATTAATTAACGATCACAAATGAAGAACCTCTCGATGCAAATGTATTTCCAGAATATATTGATAGATTTTTACATCTATTTTTTTTTTTTTTTATTGCTTCATCGTGTGGTTTGTATAATGCGATGGCATGTTCGTAAGTTGTTTGTTGAATTGCATTATATTGTGTATGAGTATCGGGATCGATATTTTAATAAGAAATTTTTGTGCGCGGTGCTTGCGAAACTCCACGATATATTTCTGCGGGGAGAGAGCACAGCCATGAAATAATATTATTTCGCCTTCATATAGATTACCTCTTTTCCGCGTATGGCTATAAAGTTTTCCCGTTTCTAGCGTGCTTTGGATGCCGCAAGCTGTAAGATAGGAAATGAAGGGAAAAAGAACGTGTTACCGCGGAGAAATATGGGAACGATAAAAGAAGCGCTCAAGGTTTCCGCGTTGTTTTCCGATCCACCATCTAATTTCTTACGGAAATCCCGATGAAGTTTTACGATCGTCGATGGCTCAATCGATATATATATATATATACGTGCTTTTTAACCGGGGATCAACATCTTTTTATCTTTATCTCAACAATCTACGTTGCTCCAAGTAGAAGTTTCGAAAAAAAAAAAATAACGCATTTTTAACTTTACGCATACATTTTTAGTTTAAAAACCTTATTAGTAACCTATTACGTACGGTAATTGTCATTATCAATCATCAATCTTGTCATCAATCAAACTGCATTTCAATAATATGTTTTCCGTATGTTCGTTTTCCGGGTGAGAAGATTGTTAATCGTTTGAAAACACAAATTAACGGCATTATACATGTGACAAAATCAATGTAAACGAGGATAATTTAACGTTATGATTGTGTTTGTCACGGTTCATTGATGCATTGGTTATGTGTTTATAACTAAAATATTGTTTTAACTAGCGTGTATGTAATCAAACAAAATGTTTAATGTTGTTTCAATTTCTTTTTGAGTAGATTGACGTGCAAATACGTACGCGTACTTGTTACGATATGACATTGTAAAGACCGGAAAAAATCGAAATCATCGTTTTAGCTCGCGCATCACCACGTTGCGCGAAATCACGAACGCATCATCAATAGGCGCGCAACGTAATAGACATGATTTCATGAATATGAAAATTTCTCGCCGTTGGCCATTTCGATTAACAATCGCGATAGCAAGTTTCGGTATTACGATTGCGCGGCATATATGATGTGTGTGTGTGTGTAGCGAAATTCTGTGGCGGGAGCGATAGCATTCGCTTTAGGAAGCCTCGTCGAATCGAGAGAGAGAGAGCCGTTCGACGAATCCGTTCAACGATCGATCGATCGAGCGAGAAATAGCGCTGCCTAAATATCGCATAGGAGACCTATAGTCGTAATTTTCTGTCGCATCCCAAATCGCGCGCACACGACGTAGATCACTCTCGTGGGTACGATATATCGCGTGGATCCGCAAGGATCCATCTCGCGCGAGTACATTAACGATTGGATCGAATAAATATGTATAAAACCACTATTATATACGTAATTCAAGAAGTCATCGTGTGAGTTCGATATCACTAAGTTTACTTTATATAAAAACTACTGATGATTTAAAAAAGATAACGTTAATGTTATATTTGTATATAATGTCTTGAAAAAAAAAAAAGAAAACGCGTCTCTGTAGAAAAACTAAGAAATAAAAGAAAGATGTTGTTTATATCGGAAAGATCGTTGATTCTACAGTTTATTATTGCCGATCGACGGTTGCCATTGTAGTGTGCGTAACTTCAACTTTTCGATTACATTCGCGCGTACCCGAAAGTAACAAAGAAGGAGGCAGCGGAGACAGTGTATCGTTACCTAACGAATGCAACGACTGAGCCGGTTTGTTTCTCATGTGTTCGCTCGTTTTTTTTTTCTTTTTTTTTTTTTTAAGAGAATGAGTCATTCCGAAAGTGCGAGTATAAGTACCTTTTTTCATAACGGTGATTATATACTCGAAGTTTATGTGATATGCTACAAATTACGTGAATAATTGTCACGAAATATATGCAACGAGTTTGTAATTTATCTCTTAAGCAGCTGTTCTTGAAAAAAAGCATTACAGTTTCATAAGGACGATTTATATAAAATATTTATCAATCTATATTTATATATATTATATTTATATGTATTTTATATATCTATATTTATATATATGGGTGATTCTCTGTGAACACGTAAATTTCAACTTTCAGTTTTGATAAAAAATAATTATTATTAACTAACGGATAGCGGTGAATTATGTTTTTTCATACCATTTTAAGTCACCATTCGTAATATGAATACGTGACTATGCAATATAAAANTAGCGGTGAATTATGTTTTTTCATACCATTTTAAGTCACCATTCGTAATATGAATACGTGACTATGCAATATAAAAAACTTATCTATGTTTTTTATGTCAATATACCACGGAGATTACAGTCCACGGAGATTACGTTTTTTGAGAATTACCCATATATATATTTATCTATATTTATATATATCTATATTTTATCTATATCTATATATATATTTATATTTATATATATATTATAAAATTTATATATACAGTCGAACCTCGATAATTCGAATCTCAAGGGAAAAGCTAAAATCTTCGAGTTGTAGAGGTTTTGACTTATCGAAGTTCTTTTTTCCTTTTCGCGAAGCGGAAAGGAATAAACAAAATTTTCATCTTATAGAAGTTTTCGAGTTATCGAGGTTTGACTGTGTATATATATATATATATATTAATAGTATTTTTTAAATATATTTAAAAATATACATTAATATATATTTATATACATTAGTTTACGATATGTATTACAATATTCTAATCAGAAACTGTAACATCTTTACGTATATTCAACAAATCAATATCGACGAGATGAATTGCGAGCATAAAAGAGTGTTCAATACGTTTCCAAATATTCACAATGTATTGAATGTATTACATTAATAACAAGCAAAACGTGTCGAGTTATCAGTCGCAAACAAATAATTACAAATAATTCGGATAGGTCGCAAAAAATTAATAATTTTATTTATTCATTACAATTAGGTCAAAAAAATCGTAAAAAGAAGAAAAGGAAACAATTTACGTGTAACGTTGTCTTGTGAAACGACTGTTTGCAACTGAGGATAATTCGAGTGAGAGCTTCGATACGCTGTTATTAATGTAATATAGTTTGAGTATTTATAAATATATATCGAACATGTCTTTTATGCTCGCAATTGATCTTGTTGATATTTATTTGTTGAATGTACAAAACGAGCATACGTTTCTCACACGTTTCTTATCTCTTTCTTTACATACGTGTACACAGCGCGTCACTGAATCGCGGAATAGACGCGGGGATCGGAGGGCAAGCGGGTCGTACGATTCGTACGGCGCTTGTTGGCGAGCACAGCCGCCCCGCTTGCCCTCCGATCCCTCACTTATTCCGCGATTCAATGACGCGCTGTGTACAATAGACTCTTAAACGCTAATATTATATATTAAGCTTTAATTTAAATATAATTTACTTTTTTTTTCCATACAATTATTTCCCATATAAATACAATTTACATTTTTTTCCATATTATGCTACATCTAAAATTGAAAATAAATGTAATATTTTTCACAGTTTTTTGTTTACAAATAAATTCCACGGGAAAGAGGAAAATTTTGCGTCAGTAGAGTTATTCCACTGTGTGTCTGGCTAATGTGTGACATACGGCAATGTACTATGTCATGCGAGAAAACGGGATTGTGGGATCAGATGCGGTGCAACATAACGCAGTTTTTTCGGTGCAACAAATATTTTCGAATCTGTTGAAAATGTGACGCGAGATGTGATATAAATACGCGCGACGCGATAATACAGTCGAAACTTTGATGATCCGGTATCGTAAATTCGAATCATCATCGCTGAGAAATAAGATATTTACAAGTTTTAGCAGAATGTCGCAACATCCACCATAGAAATCACTGAATTCCCTCGAAATGTAAAACCGCTTGCATAAAAATTAAGAAACAAAGTTGTAGGACCCGTTCTTGTGAATATAATGAACATAAAAACTCTTTCGAAAATACCTGTGAAACATATTGGTGGAACTTAATGACTATTCTAAACGGCGAATATATTACACATCATCGGAAAAAATGCGGTTTCTTTTTATTACATGTAACAATAAAATATCGTTTTTATTGTTACATTTAACAATATAATATACGTTATTTAGCTAATTATAGAGTTGAGAACTCGGAAATTTTACTTGTGCGATTCTTGATTATCATGTAAATTGTAAGTTACTTCGATTGATGCTATAGATTTGCATATATTATGTAACAAAATATTATGTATCGTATGTATATATATTACGCATACGATTTCAGATTAGCTACATAAAAGAATCTCCATTGGAATGTATTTCTCTCACGAAAACACATTTTCGGCTGTTTTATAAGAAGCGCTGCTTATAAAACGTTGATTGAAGTTGGCGCGTGTCGTGTTGTGCTCTTACTCTTACACTTTCGCTGAATATGCGTGTACCCGAAACCCGATTATGTAGGCCTATCATCGAACCAAAAGTTGCTCGCCTATATTTCGTGAACGTAATCTGTAGTTACTTAACATATCTTTTCTCTTTTTTCATCTCACACTCTTGGAGTCAAAAGCGTTCTCATAAATAAATTTTACTCGCATTCGGTATTCTATTTTTTTTTTTTCTTGTGTTCATTAACTTCATAACGACTTTACTGAGATTTATTGATTTCACGACCGAGAATTTCTCTCGACAATAAATTTGTTTACCACATCTGGCATACATATTAATTGTACATTTATTTTATTCAACTGGGCAAATATTTGGAAACAAATACATCATCTATATTTAAATTCTATATTTAAATTATTTTCGACGCTTTTTTCCATAGCGATATTTGATGTTAAATATTGTCAATTATTTTTTCTAAATAACATCACGATGAGATGTACTTCTGAATAGAACAAATACGGTGTTTGCATTTTATTTCAACGAGATGTTATTTCAACGCAAAATAAAAACGTCATATGTTTTCTTTCTCGTATTTTATAATATTTTCTTGTATTTTTTTTTGTTTGCAAAGTGACATTGGCTTCCTAAAAGAATTCTTTATTTTGACTCTGACTTCATATTGTAACAAATTTCGAATCTCACTGTTACGATATCCATTATATTTTGTTGCACGTAACCGCGGGTATCTATATTTGGTACAACGCTCGCGGCTTTCGCCGTGTTACATATATATATATATATATACATGTAGTTTGATCTCGTTATTTTGTACACTTTTCGGAAGCATCGGTTACATTGGATTGCAATGCAAAAAGAGCTTGCCATTTAAAATCCGGTGAATTTGGTTTGTCATGCGCGTGGCGAAGTTTAGTTTGTCACATGCATAACGAAGTTTGCAACAGATGCGCTTTGAAACTCTGCGTGTACGCGATTCTTACGAATAAAATGTGACGCAGATAGATTGCACTTCCGTTTTTTTTTTTTTTTTAAGTAAGTACGTATGTAAAAGTCGCTTGTAATCATGTTATAAAACGAGATTTTGCAACAATAATAATAATACTAAATGAGAAATGTGTTACTAACCGCACAAATGCGAAATTAAAATCTTGAATAATTTATTCGAAATGTGTTATGCAAATAACAGACATCACATTATGCTGATATGATATGAATATTTCACACACACACACACACACAAACACGCACACACATACATATATACATAAAAATAGAAAAAGCCGATTCAAAGAAAAATAAAAAATATCCAGAAGAAATAGTAGAATCTCTGAGAAATGTAATACGTGAAGACGCGCTAACTGTCGTTTCGCATCTCGCCGAACGTCGTTGACATTTCGTTTGTCACGAGATACCTTCCGTTCGTTCAGCTTCCTTCGAGAAACTTTGGCCAACATATAAAGTCTCCTCCGGTTTCGCAAAATTTATATGCGCCACATGAACGCTCAAGTGCGTCGTGTCGCGTTTATCTGTCAGTGACGATTATACGTACACGAAGCGGCGGAATCCGCCGGGATGCAGAACGGCTTATAGCTAACCTCTCAGTGACAATGTCACGCGACACGAAGACCAGCTGCACGGATCGCCAGAGACACGCAGAAGCTTCTGTCGTGCCGTTCGCGGCGTTATCTTCCGCCGTCGTCGTCACAAAACGAGACGGGAACACAACGGATGACCGGCGAGAATCGATTCGGTCGTTGACGAGTCTCGTTTCAACCGTTTGCTGCGCGTCTGAGACAGACGGTTAGTTCGGAAGAGACATTAATCCACCATCGTTAGTTTGATTTCTGTGCGACATAATAACATCGGAAAATAATAAAATTGGAAAGCTTTACTTAAGAACATTTTAAAATTGAGAAAATTAAATTCAGGTTAATTATCGCAAGTACTTAAGAAAAAAAGCGGATTAAAAATCACCGTTGTAATTGAGTTCTAATTAAAGTTGAAAAGAGAAAAAGTTGCTCTTAATTTAGCCACGTTACTGTATCTCATTACGATATATAATTTATATTTTTGGAATTTTCTCTATCAAATAAATAATTTTTTTTTCAAAAAAAAAACTTATCTAGTAATTACGTTTCTCGAATTTAAAATTCTTTTCTCATATAATTTTTTTTCGATAATTTTAAAATCCAAGAACTTATATACGCGCTTTGAAATGATATTCTCAAAAATCTTGCTAAATCGTCGTTTACTGTAGAAAATATATTAGATATTTTTCAATAAACTTACTTGAAACGTCGTTTACCATAGAAGCGGATTACGAGACTTCTAGCGAGGGACTAAACCCTTCGAAATTCAGCGGTGCCGAAATTCACGGAACACGAACGAAAGAATCGCTTTGCGATTACTTCGAGGAGAAAAGCACTTCCTTAAGCAAACTCGACACGCTCGATAGGAACGTATCTCCGATAAAGGAAGAAGTTATTCCCGATCTACGGCGCAAACTCATGGAAAACAGGTTAACCCAGAAAACCACATACGCTCGCGGCAGTCTTATTTTCGAGAGTTTGGCAAAGACGAAATCTCTACCTTTAATACTGAGGAGCGCGGATTCGAGCAGTATATCCGCAAACTTCGAGGCGACGAATCTCGCGCTAATGTCCGAGTCGTCGTTAGCGCGCGAAAGAAAAATGTCCATGATTATTGATGCTATGGCACCGCTCATTACTTTAGATTCGTCAACGATCTCTGTAACGACGAACAACTTTTGTGACAAACAGCACGAAGCGAAAAGACTCGAGTCGAGAACGAAACTGCCTGTGCTTCGCGTAGGTCTATATAGACACTTATTGTGTACACATTAATATTAATTAAAATTTAATATTTTATGTATTATTTATTTTAAAAAACTGTTTTGTGTAACTTATATATATATATATGTAGATATGTACATATGTATAATATTATATATTAGGTCTACCGGAAAGTTCTGTCCGTTTTTGGAATAAAACAAAATACAAATTTTTCTTAATTTTTCAAAAATGGGATATACAAATTGCCCTTTCGCTGGCAAGAAATCATTAATATAATAATGGTAATTATATTATTTAATAAAGTTTATTGACGGTAAGAAAAATTTGTATTTTGTTTTATTCCAAAAACGGACAGAGAACTTTCCGGTAGACCCAATATATTATATATATATATATATATACAATATATATTTTCTATATATTATATGTATTAATATTATTTTGAAATATTATTTTTTATTTTTATTATATTACATTTATTATATTATATTTATTATTTTTATTATATTATATATATATATTGTTTGAAAATTGTTTTGTTGAATATACATGTATGTACGTGATATTTATAGAATAATTTTATTAAAACAAAAATAAAATGAAGGATAATTGCCAAGGATAAAGAAAAACAATTCTCGTCCTTTCGATCACAGTAGATCTTCATTACTCCGTAGGATGCGACAACTACAGACGTGATTAATGACGAGAAGTCAGAAGAGCTCGTGGCGGAAGTAATACTTCACGAGGCGAAAAATAACCATCGTGGTATAACAAACAGGGATCCTTGTCAGGACGCAATTTCTACGCTTGTCAATGACGTCGATGTAACAAACGACGGCGATCTCGTTGACGTCGCAAGGAATCCATACTCTTCCATCAAGTCGATCTACTTCCCGCCGAATCCACCTGCTTCGCTGGACGACTCTGTCAAATCGAAGAGACGTCAACGAATAGCAACCGACACCAAGGCCCTGCTGAAAATAGATTACGAATTGGGTCCGCTACGGTACCAATACAGCGAGATCATTGGCAAAACTCGAGCGTTGGGTTTGAGCAGTTCGATCTTTGACCTTGACGTTTCCTGTCGTCTAGATCGACCGTCCGACAACTTTCTAAATTGCAACGAGACATTTTCGCGGCAAACTGCGACAAGCTGCGGCATCGAAGATCGATTTGGTCTCGTCGATAAAACGACCTCGCCGTCCCCGACTTTTTCTCTGGTCGGTAAACCCGTTCCGAGAGTCGACTTTCGTTGTGCCAGTTGGTCGAACGAAAATGATCCCAGTCGTCGGCAGAAGGCGTTGAGTCCCACCGCAAGCGATTCATCTCGCACACTTATCGAGAACCTCAATAATCTTCGATTTTCCACTCGACTCGGAAGTGGCACGTCTTATCTTCCTGCGGCGACCGATATCCATGCGTTCTCTCCGAGAGAAAATGCTCTGAATGAACATTCGTGCAACGAATGTGTTTCCAATAAGTTTCAATCCCTTTGCAATCCTAACACGGTAAAAGTAGAAAGAGGCACTTTCACACGTGGGAGTCGGTCCTTTCACAGGACGATCAATGTAAGCTGCTCGAACGTTCTTCGTAGGCGAGACTACGACTCGCACCATCGATATCTCGAACGAACCGTTCGTAACTCGCGAACGTCTAACAATAATTTCGTCGAGGTTCGAGGACAAGAATTTTTGCTATCGGAAAAAAACTCCGCCGATCGTTTGCACCGAAGAAACAGCTCGTGCACGACCTGTCGTTCGAATTACACCGCAAAATCCACCATTATAGAGATGATTGACAATAACTGGTGCGCCAGTTTAAGTGAAAAAACAGGGAGCGAACGATCGAACAAACGCGTCGAGGGCCTCCGGGCCGATCGTCAAAATTCGATGGCCATTCAAACGCAGTTTACCACTCGCGGTGGCAATCGTCGCAATGGCACTCCGACCGAAACAAAATGCGTCATCAGAGACGACGAGATCTCTTCTGCGTTCGGATTGAAGCTGAATGAGCGTAGCAGCGTAGCAGATCTCGATCGGCAAATATCGCGCGCGGTTTCCGCAATTTCGACTCGCTGCGCTCCTCAGATTCGCGTCGTAAGCGTAAACACGGAATTTCACACCACCATAGAGAAACGCAGCAGAGCCGTTAGTCCTATTCGAGATCTTCATTCGATCGTTCCTTCAACGACATTGTCTCCGATTGACGTGTTACTCGCTTCCAGATTGTCTCGCACGTTTGTGCAACAAGTGCGCGATAATTCGTCGCGCACAAAAATATCGAAAGTAATTGATTCGAGCCAGAATGTGATAAATTGTACAGAAATTAGCAAATATAAATGTGACATCGGAGATGTGACGAGCAAACGTGATTTCGCCGTTCAAAAAGTTGACTACCACCAACCGGTTGCGGCGAGTTTCTCGAAGACATTTTTCGAATCCGTTCGGAATAAAGATTTAATGACGGAATGCGAGAAACCGCGGCATCTTCGTTTAACGGAAGCGAAGGAAAAGATCACGATTGTTCCTATCGTTCTTACCGACGGTCCGACATCGGACCCGTCGAAAATCGCTAATGTAAATTTTGCGATTCCGAATTACGTTGGAAACGCGACGTCAGAAATGAGCTATCAGATCGTACCGCTCAGGATGAGAAAGTCTCGGAAGACGTCTTTGGCATCGATGGATAACAACATTGAAACATCTCGACATAATAACGAGAATTCCGCGTGTTTAACCGAGCGATCGGCAAATGAGAAGCGTTACAGCGAAATATCCGTTTCTCGCGCCAATTACGGCGGTGATCTGTACACGCGGAAAGACTGCGATCCTTCGACGACGAGAGTCGTCGCGAGAAATCCGAGACAATTGTCTCGAGTTGCGAATGTCGATCGGAAAACGAGGAAACGTTGCGATTCCGCCGAGCGGAGAACCGCCGCGCGAGCGATTCCCGGCATGAGGTGCTCACCGGACGATTTCCTTTGTGACACGTGACTCGCGGCGCGCGCTTAAGTGCGTTTCGCGAGAGCGCGACAATTTAACGAAGAAGCGATAAGAGCTCATCCCAAGAATTTCTCCGAGTCATTCACAAGCAGAAGTAAGTAAGTTTCTTCTCGCCCCTGAAATGCCGGGTCCTTTCGAGAGAGAGAAACGACGAAAGTTTTAAATTCAACTCAAGCGACAAAGACTACTACTCTGCGGGACTTGCGCGATCGCCGTGTGAGAATTCACGACGATCGCGTCGCGCTTGTAACGTCGACGACGAAGAAAAACGCAAAGCGGGGGACATTTTTCGCAGCGAGCAAATACATATTCGCTTCTCCGAACGTTGCGGAGTAAAAAATTTGTCAAGCGAACGAGCAGAAAGACGAAAAATTGTACGATCGAAGAACGACGCGAAACAAATTTCGAAATTGCAAAAAAAAGTAAACATGAGTTTTTTTTTGAAGAAACGTCTGATACCAGAGATTTGAGACCAAAACGTTGAAGAAATTTCTTGCAGAAATTTAGGACCGATATTATAGCCGATCACTTTCGCCGTCACAAAGATGAACAGATGGAAATCGTTGAGAAAAGAATCGACGGGGATGAGCAAAATCCATCTGAAATGATTTTCCGCACACCTTTCTCGCACGCATATCGAGTAGTCTTTTGGATCCTTTCATGTTTAAAAGAGCAGCGTGACACGTTGTACGCGCACGCCGTCGTCTCTCTGTTAGAAATTCAGATAGCGAACGATTAGTTGACCGAACGCGCCGGCAGTAAATCTAGATAGAATTTTTGACATCTGTATACCGTATATACTCGCTTGTTGTTTGACATTTGTACCGTATATACTCGCGCGATTTGATATTGAAAGGCTTTTTGTTAACAAACGCAAACATTTGATACGCACTGTTTTACTGAAATACAATATTAGGAAGAGCAACAATAGAGAATTTTTTGTGTGAAAATGTTTTTACCGCGCGCTAACTGAATAAAAATTTTGCCGAAGCGCAAAGAGGTTGGTGACATAATGTTGCCGTAACTAATAACACGTAAACACATTTCGTTCTCATGTCTTTTTGTGCGTTGGTTTGGCGCTAAAACGAATCTGGTTATCTCCGCGGTGTCAGTGACGCTGTAAGTGCGCGATAAGTGATGACAGAACATCGGGAACGGAAATGATGCGACGAGCAACGCTTGTGTGCTTTAAGAGAACCGATTTTTTTTTTTCGCATATGTGAGAGAAATCCTCTGTCTCTCTGTACTTCTCTCTGTCGATGATAAACCAGCAGGATTATTGATGAATAATTTCCCTGACATGCTTCACGTCGCGATGCACGTGTACGTTAATATCAAGGGTTACGACGGATAAGGCTGATTAATGTTTAAGTGGACCGTTAGCGAAGGATTTCCCTTCTCCTCTCTCTCTCTCTCTCCCTCTCTCTCTCCCTCTTTCTCGGCCTTTGCCGCTATATTGTGCAACGTGCTTTTACCTCTCGATTAGTTCGCCTAATCAACAGAAAGCCTGACAGAAGATCGCAGCCTGCTCAAGATTCATCTCTCGATGTATTTGAGAACGACAGCGTTTTTTTTTTTTTTTTTTTTTTTTTTTGGAAAGGAAAAAAGCGGCAATCGCGAGTAATTAACGAAAATACGATCTGCAAAATTGCTCCTCACAAATTGACTCGGAAATTGTGAAATAGTTTTTGTCTAACGTCTCTCTCCCGCCTCAATCCCTTGCGCGTTCTTTTTTTTCTCCTTGCATTTCTCCCTTGCATCTCGCTACCATTTGTCTTACTCGGCGTTGCAATTCATGACAAGTGTCATATCTCATATTTTCCTTCTCGCCGACATCGAGGAAGAATGAATTTCTCTCTTTGCGTTATTCTTTTTACAATAATCCGCCGCTTACAATACGGGGACTGCTGTTTATCTCACGTTTTCGCGCGATAAAAGCTACTTGTGGTGTCGGAGAGTCGGGATTTCTTTTATCACAAAAATTATCGCACGCCGGATATTATCAATATATAATTGTATGCTCTATCCATTCATACATATGTACGATTATACAATATCAAGATTATTACCACGGACTTGAAAAAGTTTTTTGAACATTTGTACTATCTGATATGTGACAAGCGCGTCATTTTACTCTTGATAATAACACTCAATTATCATCGTTAACTTACCATCATCTTGTTGTTGATATCGTTTTTTTTTTTTTTTTTTTTTTTTTTTTTTTTTTTTTTTTTTTTTTTTTTTTTTTTTTTTTTTTTTTTTTTTTTTTTTAACTTATCGTCGTATTGCGTTTCCGGTCTCTTCTATTTTGATATTCGCGCTTTTGATATCGCGATACGTGACGGCCAAACGTGACATAAACCAGAGATAGATCTTTCTTATCGTCTCCGCAATGTAATTTAGTATCCCGCCGCTCCCATTTTCTGTCAGTTAAAATCACGAAAGCGGGAGTGTGTTATTTTGACGGATCACCGAATCGAGACGATACATCTGACGCACACTCGTTGCATGCACGTTTTTACAATAAATTTACGACAATAAAGGCGATCGTTGGCGATCTTCCAAACAACTTGCCTTGCACAAACGCGTGGTCACAGGGTATGCCAAGAGGTCACTGCCGACGTCTTGCCATCTGCTACCCATTGCATTAAGTCAACTATGTGAATCCAGCTTGTCGTACGGTCGGTCTTATCAATGTCGATTAAATTCACCCCGAGTTAAATTGATTTTTTTTTTTTCTGGAGCTACAATTAAAAGCATCTCTTTGTTATTCGGGAATATCTTTTATAAGAGAGAGTAAATAACAGCGTTATCACGTCTACTAAATACTTTGAAAGTCAGAAAAATTATAAAAATAAAACAATTTTTATATAAAAAAATTAAATTAAAAAAAATTAATTTAAAAAATCTGTATATAAAATAAAATTTACGTTTATTGTTCAGAATTTCGATAGTCGAAATTAATACTTTACATTTTATAGTGTTAAACAATTAATATCGAAAAGAAGTGTTGTTTTTATAATAAGTTTTTTTTACAATAGAAAATTTTTTTATTCTCTCTCTCTTTTTTCTGGAATCGACAAACGCAAATTAAGAGAGAGAGAGAGAGAGAGAGAGAGAGAGAGAGAGAGAGAAAAAACGAAGATTTTCTTTTTTGTTTTCTGATAAACCAATAATTTGTCCGTTATTCTATATAAGTTCAAAACTCACGACACAAATAGAACGGTAGAGGATTATGTAAAAATCGAGACCACACAATTTCTTGCCACCGAATTCAAACCGAGAAAGTTTCTTGCGAATCTCCACAAAACTTTTTCATCGGGTTGATTCATTCAAACCAATTTCGGGATTTATCTTTTTCTATAGGAATATTAACGAGAATAATATCGAATAATTAAAAGTTCAAGCGCGCGTAAGAAGATTTTATCGGAAAAATTATTAACAGAGGGACAATAATTTTTAATGACAGTTTGATAAATATGCAGTACTAACAATGATTTATTTTTACCAAGAGTTTTATTTCTCCTTTATTTATACAATTTAGTTTTAATCAAATTCTGAGCAAAATTCTATCGAGAGCAGCACGTGCTTTGCGACCGTCGTGAAAGTAAACGTGTATTTGCTCGCGAGATTTCTTGACAGTTTTAAAGGCCAACATGTCGATAACGTAACATTTTTCGACTTTTGCACAAGAAGTGTTTGACGTGGCGCTGGCATAAATGGCGAAATGTAAATATTTTATAACGTAACACTTTGCCTCGTATATATTTCCCAACAAATTTTGGCTTCCGATAATTAATTAATTAATTGTACTCATTGCGTACATTGAAAATATGTAATATTTGCTTTACTACATGTTATACATCCGGCAGCAACTGTGTCCAATTTGGCCGAGATGAATTCTTACCCCCGATAATATTTCAGGATTAAACGCTTCCTCAAAATAGTCGAGAGCAATGCGCGCGCGCGCGCGTGTAGAGTTTGTTTCATTTCGTAGTTGGTTTATTGGTTTGGACTTTGTCGTCACAGTTTGTAACGTCTATTCGTTCCAGATTAGAAGTTGTTATATTTACGAAATTTCAAAACGGGACAGAACCCAAGAGCGTCGCCAGGAAAAGCGGATTACTTCAGAATCGGTTCAGGATATTCTCGCCGCGTCAATTTTAGCGCGCCCGACTTCCCCGACGATCTTGGAATACTTCGTCGCGGCCGCGGTTGAATAACTTGTTTCTGAGTTTCGTACATACGCAAAACCCGTCGTTCATTATCCCGTTGACGAGCGCTAATTGTTCCGTGCATTTCGAGAGCTTCCAAGTTTCCTCTTTAAATCGCTATTGATTGGATATGGAGGCTCAGGTTTCAACTCGCATCGGCCAATAAACGTAGGCACGAGAACAGGCTTCTGTTTGAATTCGACGAAAACCGTTTAATTACAGACAAATCCCTCTTCGCTCTATCGGAACGGACAAACTCTCAATCCGTCGAAATGAGCGAGCAGATATATATCCGTCATTGGTTGAAATACGTAATCCGCCTACATTTTCTATTCCATTTCCGTTAAAGGCGCGCAAACAAAAAAAAAAAAAAAAATCGCAGTCTCGCTTTTTTTCAGCGTGCGATTGATACGAAACACACACGACATAGTTGTTTGCCGAGCAAACAGCCGTTTTCTCAAGATGGAGATTGTTCTATCGGATAAAACCAAACAATTTGATGGAATCATTTAGGGGAAAGATTTTCTCGAGAATCTATTGTTTGATTTATCTAAAAGATGCGAGATTAGAATGGTGCGTACATATAGAAAGAGACCGGCACTGGTTGTCACACAGCTAATATCTTGCTTATTAAATATGCAAAAATACTTTTTTTATGATATAGGTTGCTACTATTGCTAGTTATGTGTACGAAATAATACTTACACAAACAAAAGTACACGTTTGTATAACTTTGTTTGTGTAATGTAATTGTGTAACAAACAAATGTAATTGTTTGTGTAATGTAATTGTTTGTGTAACAAACAAATTTTTGTTTGTGTAGCAAGCACTTTTGTAAAATTAGACATGGCGAGTAAGTTTTTTTTTATCTCTATTTTGTAGTTATTTCATTGCTTTAAAAATTCTGGTTGCAATTTTATCTTACGTATCAAGAGGCACGGTAGTGTTTCGCGCCAAGTTCACGCGCAACGAAGTGGCGCTCGAACTGCGCGAGCACACTGTGCCTCTTGATATGCGAAAATCAGGCATTTCAATGGAGAGGAGATTTTTAATTAGCCATTTTTTAATACCGACTGAACGAATCGACTTCTTTTTAGTCTCGTTCGATTCACCGTGAAAAAATAAAAAAAAAAGTATTTTTGCGTTTTTGTTGTTTGTTTTTGATTTTTCGAGATATACGACGATAAAGTTTCGAAGTGAAAAATTTACGATTCAGAAACGTCGTGCGACCAAATTGTGTGCATGTTCGTATGCCTGCTGCCAGATGGCATACATATACAAGCGCGTTTTAAGACAAAAAAGAAAGAAAGACAGGAAGTGTGAGTTAGAGAGAGAGAAAGAGAGAATCACGAAACACGGTAGTGGTTCGCGTTATTCGCGCCGGCAACACCTCCGATAGTGCCGATCGCTTCGACGATGTTCCTCGCGGCGTAGTGATTTTGCGCCGGCAATATCTTCGATATAACTTTCTTTAGTAAACTGTATTGAAAAACTTGGCACGAAATAACTACAACCTATAAACTTTCAATTCATAATCACTTTATGATAAAAAATTAATTCAGAAAACAGATAAAAGCATTTTTTTCGCCCCGGCAACACCTCCGATATAATTTTTTTTAATAAACTGTTTTGAAACTTGGCACGAAATAAGTATAAACTATATAAACT